CACACACACACACACTCACACACACACACACTCACACACACACTCACACACACACACACTCACACACACACACACTCACACACACACACACACTCAAACACACACATGTATAAATAGATTCTCTTCAATGTGCATTTACGTCTTCACATATACCTCGAGAAAAAAAAATGAACACAAACATAAAGAATGCAGGGGCGAACGAGCGCAGAGAGAAAAACAAAGGCCCAAAACGAAACAGGGGGAAACGGAAGGAGAATAAGAGCCATATAGGTGAGTGAAGAATAGCCACAAAGGTATTTAGCCAGGTAAATGAGTGCCATTTCTTCTACTATCGGGAAAAGAAAGAAAAAAACCACAACTTTTAATGCTAGAAATTTTCTTTTTTCAGGAAATACCTTTATTTCAAGAGGCGAAGAGTACCTGCATGTCGCGCCCAGATGATTTCTGAGATTAACGGCATGAACGGCAGCACACATCCCTTTGTCCAGCGTCGAATTTTCACCAATCCAATAAAAAATCGCATGTTTCAAGGCACCAGAATCTTCCTAAACACTACAATTTTCAGCAGCCACAATGATCAAAGAAATAAACCTGAAGTTATTACTTATTATACTTATTAACTACTATTGATTATTTATTATTATTTGTTATTTACTATCATTTATTACTTATTATTACGCCTTATTACTACTTGTTACTACTTATTACTTATTATTATGCCTTTGTACTAAATGTATTATTGCTATGTAGAGGCTTTTTGTTTTTTCTTTTTTTTTTTTCAATTTTCGTTGCCACTCGCCTCAAAACCCGTTCGGATGGCTTACGAAGAACCAAACAGACCACAGAAAAGTTTGCTCAGAGTTACGCTTTGCAGCCGAATAATGCCCAAATTTTTGCCTTTTTTTTCATTAAGACTGAGATTAAAATACTCTCAATGTGATTTCTTCGCCTTTCTAAAAAATTTTGCGACAATCTGAGAAAGCTGCGCAATTCTATTCCCGATTTCTCATTAAAATAATATAATTTCTAAGAGTGCCACACAAGAAATCCGACACTTAGTAGCCCTTTTCAGAAAAAATAAAATAAAAGGACAGAAAGGAAGGTCCGGAAGTCAAGCAATAAAAAAAAAGAAAAAAAGAAAAAAAAAGAAAATTAAAAAAAAAAGAAAATAAGAAAAAATCCGGAAGCAACTTTATTAGGAAAAGCAACTTTAGTCATAGCTACTCTGATTGTTGTAGAAATTTTAGAGATATAAACAATTAATATCCTTGGCTAGGAGAGTGGAAGAGGACGGGGGCCTGAAATCGTTTATGCGTTAACATATGCAGTTTGTTTGGCGTTGTTGGCCCAGCACCGTGGAGAGGAACACAATCGAATTTTGATAATTAATGAAAACATTGGAAGCGCCATTTAGGTCTCCCAAATATGCAAGCCTGTATGTACGGTGACTTGATAACCTGTTCCTGTTTCATCCCTGAGCTGTAAACACAGACTGTAGAATCGGTGCGAAATGCGGTGGAAATCATCAGTACAGTGTTCCATTTCGTCATTTAAGAAGGAATATATTGTGATACTGTGCAGCGAAGAAACGAAAGCTAAGCAGATTATCAGTACAAAGTAATCCTTATGTCTAAAACGTAGGCTAATTATTTCAATTCCAATTTCAACTGAAAAAAAAAACCTTAGATGTGTGTAATATGAGGTAGCAATCGGCGTCGTAGAAGTGTCCATGGAGCG